AAATATATAAAATAAAAAAAGATAAATAAATCAATGGGTCTGGGGTGTATACACACGTAAATAAAACATAAAATAAATATCAACATGCATGCATGCATGCATGCATGCAGACTGCAGCAGCAGCAAACTACTGCAGCAGCAGCAGCAAACTACTGCAGCAAAAGCTGCTGCAGCAGCAACCTCAGCAGCAGCGTGCATGCAGCCCCAATTTTCATGCAGCTGCATTTATGCCAATAAATCTAAGAACTGCATGCATGCATGCATGCATACACTTGCATGCATGCATGCATGCATATACTTGCATGCATACATACACTTGCATGCATGCATACACTTGGATACATATACTTGCATGCATGCATACACTTGGATGCTTATACTTGCATGCATGCATACACTTGCATGCATGCATGCATACACTTGCATGCATGCATACACTTGCATGCATGCATGCATGCATGCATGCATGCACGTATGCATGCATGCATGCATGCATGCAAGTATCTTACGGGTGTGTGTATGAGTATCCTGAGTGAGGAATGCGTCGATTGGCCGATTGAAATTCTCCACAGCTGCAGCAAACCCCCAGCTCCTTCTGTTGCTGCTGCTGCTGTTGCTGCTGCTGCTGCTGCTGCTGTTGCTGGTGCTGCTGCTGTTGCTGCTGCTGCTGCTGAGGGCTGCGCAGCCACAGCAACTGCGAGCACCACGAAGCAATCCCCTCCAGCAGCAACAGGAATACTGCTGCTGCTGCTGCTGCTGTCGCTGCTGCTCCTGTCGCTGCTGCTGCTGCTGCTGTCGCTGCTGCTGCTGCTGCAGCTGCTGCTGCTGCTGCTGCTGCAGTTTGTGATTGCTATATATTCTGAGGCGGCTAAGGCGACGACATTTCCGCCCACATTTAACAGCTCATCGCCATCCGTCTCCCTACCTGATTTGCTGCTGCTGCTGCTGCTGCTGCTGCTGCTGTTGCTGCTGCTGCTGCTGCTGTTGCTGCTGCTGTTGCTGCTGTTGCTGTTGCTGTTGCTGTTGCTGCTGCCGCTGCCGCCGCAGCAGCAAGCTGTAGAAACAGATCGGGAAGAAGAGCTCAGAGGCCTAACGATGTGAACGCTGCAGCAGCAACACTGCTGCTGCTGTTGCTGCTGCTGCTGCTGCTGCTGCTGCTGCTGCTGCTGCTGCTGCTTCAGTTTAGTATGAGCATTGGGTGATTTCAGCAGCAAAACGGGCAGAGGGAAGAGCGACAGCTGCTGCAGCACCGCATGCAGATCAAGCCCCAAACTTACTTCTTCATACTGCTGCTGCTGCTGTTGCTGCTGCTGCTGCTGCTGCTGCTGCTGCTGCTGCTTTCCTCTGCTGAGGCCAGCGAGGAAGCTGCCCTCGTAAGTATTGCGATAGAGCGCATGCAGCAGCAGCGGCGAATCAGCAGCAGAAGTTGCTGCTTCCTTCTCCCGTCCATCTGCTGCTGCTGTTGCTGCTGCTGCTGCTGTTGTTGCTGCTGTTGCTGCTGCTGCTGCTGCCTTCAATACAGCAGCAATGCTCATTCCTGCTGCAACTGCTGCAGCAGCAGCAGACGGATGCAGCAACGCATGCAGTGCCTGGACAGCTGCACTGCTGCTACTCCCGCTACTGCTGCTGCTGCTGCTGCTGCTGCTGTTGCTGCTGCTGCTGCTGCTGCTGCTGTTGTGTGTGTCTGCATTTGTTTTTTGTTTTTTGGGGGCTGAGCAGCAAAAGTCGATTTCTTGCAGCAGCCAATCCAACTTTCTCCTCGTTGTTTCTTCTTCGTTTTCTTTTTCTTTTTCTTTTTCTTTTTCTTTTTTTATTTCTTTTTCTTTTTCTATTTCTTCTTTTTCTGTTTCTTCTTCTTCTCTGCTGTCTGTACACCGCAAATACCGCTGCTGCTGCCTGGCTCCTCTGCCTCTGCCTCTCCCCCTTCCTCTGCCTCTGCCTCTGCCTCTGCTTTTTCTGTTTTCAGCTGTATGTACACCCGCGTATATATCTCTTTCTTCATTTGTTTTTGTATTGGAGACAGAAGAAAGTGCTGCTGCTGCTTCTGCTGCTGCATCAGCAGCAGGCAGCAACGCCCCATCTGCTGCATGCGGCAAGACAGACGATTCAAATCTGCTGCTGCTGCTGCTGCTGCTGCTGTCACCGCCGCTGCATGCAGAAGAAGCAATGGAAGCTGCTGCAGCAGCTGCTGCTGCAGCAGCAGAAGCGCCTCTCCGCGCTCGTGCTGCAGCACAAGCAGAAGGGGGGCGCCCCCGGCCACGTCGCCGCGGCACCGGGTCAGCAACAGCAGCAGCAGCAGCAGCAGCAGGAGCAGGAGCAGCAGCAGCTTCTGGGGCCTCTTGGGCCCCGTTGCTGGCCTCAGATGCGGACATGGGGGGAGAGGATTTGCTGCCGGCGTTCAGCTGCTCATCTTGCTGCAACAGTGAAAATACAGATAGCTTGCTGGTGTCAGCATGAGCTGTATATACACCTGAGAAGGAATCTGCTACTTTGTTTACAGGAAGAAGAACAGACAGATTCAAGGAGCAGCGAGAGAAATAACATATACACAAAAAATAAAACCAAGAGACGAGGTGGACGGGGTCAAATGCCTCACTTTTGCAAGTCTATTGACAGTGAAAATGCAGTTTCATCGCAGCAGTTTCAGGTGTATCCATCGACGAGATCATGAACTGGGCGGGATGCCAGTCAGACGAAGAACAGCTGCGGCGGAGGTGAAGCGGAAATGCTGCAGAAAAGAGAGAAAGCGACAGAAATGAGTGCAGATCTCCATGCATATGATCATCTTCTATTGATTTATGTCATCTTTTTAGAAGAAGAATCGACAGAAACACAAAAAAAAAGCCAAAAACTCCACCAGTGCAGCAAGCCCCGACGCGGCGACGAACTGCAAAAGTGGAGTTTTCATGAAAAAACAAGCGATCGTTAGTATTTTTATTGTAATATTACTTCATCAATGAGCTTTTTACTGTCAAAAAAGAGAAAAAATTAAGCAAATCGCTTAGGTTTCACTCTTGCAGAGGTTCATGACGAGCTGCATGTACACCGCAGAGTTCACTCACCCCCGCCGACTTCATCATCAGCGGTTCTGTGCTTCGGAAAGCAGAAAAGTTTCGCAGGTTTTTATGATTAGATTTTTGCGATCCTCAGAAATTTGAATTATATTTCATATTTCTGATTCCTGCTGAAGTTGAAACTCTCGCTTTCCTCCTTTCTGTACCTGTATTCAGACATCGAGACTGCCGCTGCCAGCAACGACCCGAACAGTATCGTGGTTTCCTCTTTTCTCAGCTCTAAATACTTTTAAAAATAAATTTAAATTTATTTAATGGCGAGTTTCTGCTTTTTTTAGCCAAAAATTTCGCGGATCTGGCCGCCCCCCCCGCCGCCGCTTCGTTCAAGTTTCAGGAGATGTGCAGCATCGGCTGCAGTCGCCTGCTTTCTCAGCGGCTTATTTCTCCTCATATTCCTCACTACAAACCTCTGCATGCACCGCTTCTTCCCCCGCTGCAGCTGCAGCAGCAGCAGCAGCAGCAGCAGCAGCAGCAGCAGCGGCAGCTTCTCCCTACGCAGCAGCAACTGCTGCTGAGGGATTCAAACGCATCACCCTCTGCAGACACCGAAGCTGCACAAGCATCATGGCGGTCGCCTCCGCCTCGCCTTCACCTGTATCATCTGCAGCAGCAGCAGCAGCAGCACCAGCAGCAGCAGCAGCTGCAGCAGGAGCTGCTGCAGCAGCCCCGGCTGGCTGCGTTGCACGGCCCCAGCAGCGTCTTCACTGGGCTGGATGACGGCTGCTGCGGTGTATCTGCAGCTTCTTCAGGGGGGAGACACTGGAGCGAGTTGGGGTGTATGTACACCTCAATTAGAACAAAAAAGAAAAGAGGAAAAAAAGAAGTTATAAAAAAAAATGCAGAACAACTCGAAACTAAAGTCTCGTAAGTTTTCCTCATACTATATTCAATTTGTCTTTGTTTTGTTTTGTTTTTTTTTGTTTTGTTTTTGTCTTTTTTATTCTTATTCTATATATATATATATATATATATATATATATATATATATATATATATATATATATATATATATAT